GGTTTCTTCAATATTTCGTTCTTTTGTAAATTAATTTTCAAGTCCTGAATTGTTTTTGTTATTTCTTTCTGCTGCATATTTGTATTTTTTTTTTTTTTTGAGTTTTGGTCACAAATTTATGCCTATCCTCTTTGAGTTCTCGAGGTGTTTTTCTGGGTTTCCTTTCAGTTTTTACTGTATTTATAATTCTTCTTTTAAAATTCTGCACCCTGAGGTTCCTCAGAGTGATTCTCATTGTAGTACACTTCTATGGAGCTGGTTGGGGATGTATCCTCTGGTTTTTCATATTATGTGTGTCTTTGCCTTGCTTTTTGGGCCTATTGATGTCTTTTGTTGGTTGTGGGTCTGATAGAAAATTCCATTCTTCCTTAGTTCATTTAAATTTTGGTTCTGTTTATATTATTAATGCAGCTTGGTTGCTTTTTGCTTTGGTATGAAAGATTAGTTTTTGTGTACTTCCAGTTTTCACAGAGTGTTAGGCTGATCTCAGGGTCGAAGACTTGTCTTGGGAATCCAAGGCAAGGTGAGGGATGATATCAGCCAGGGTAGAAGGCTGGTGTCAGGAGTCCAAAGGACAGGTTGGAGAGCTTCTGGAAGGTCTAACAAACTAGTCTGGAAAATTAAGTGGAGTTCAGGGGATCAGGAAACAGTGGGTGGGTCTGGACTAAGAGGGTAGTTTAGAGATATGGGGTACAAAGAACAAAAACAGGCCTGTGTCCAAGACTAGAAGGGGAACAGGGTGTGCCCATGTGACTTTTTTAAAGGTTTTTAATGTTAGTTGTCCCTTCCATTACTCCCTCTTCTTCCCCATTCTCTCATTCCCCACACCATTAAAACATTAATATCCCAATATTCCCCTTTCTACATTTATTATCACTACATTCTATCTCCCCTCCTATCAACCACAATCCACGGTCCCTTATTAGTTTTCTGACCTCTAAGAAACTTACTATTGAAAATAATCTGTCTAAAGATTCAAAGCTATCATCCACTTCTGAGAGAGATCATGCCGCATTGATCTTCTGGGTCTGTTTTACCTCATTTAATTTTGTTTCTCTTAATGGCTGAATTAATTCTATGGTATAACTACACCATACATTTGTTATCCCTTCATTATGGCAGACATCTAAGTTTTCCCACTTCCTGACTATTGTGAATAGAGCAGCTATGAACATGGATGAGCAAGTACCTCTGTAGTAGGACACAGAGTCCTTTGGGTATATGCCCAAGAGTAGTATAGCTGGATCATGTGGGAGATCTATTTTTAACTCTTTAAAGAACCTCCACACTGCTTTAATGGCTGCACTAGTTTGCTCTCCCATCAGCATGAATAAGTGTTCCCCCTTCCCCACATCATCACCAGCACTTATCATTTATTTTTTGGATCTTTGCTATTCTGATTGGGGTAAGAAGAAATATCAAAATAATTTTAATTTTCATATCTCTGATGGCTAAATATGTTGAATATTTTTAAAATATTGATCAGTTGGACCCTGCATGCTCCAATATCGACCAATTAGCCAAGATGTACTCCCTGGTACAATCATGGCATGACAGCTATGGCGATAACTAACAACGTTCTGATTGAATTTGAGGACTGGGGCATGGGAGAATTCATTCCTGCTACTGAAATCCTGGTTAAAATGATTTGGGCATTCGTAGGTACTTGGGGGAAACCAGTTTTGTTTACCTAAGTGGTCATGTTGTCAAACTGCCTTCTAAATATTTCTGTTTATGCACATATATTTTTGTTGCTTTAGAAAAAAATGATCAGTCATTTCTGTTTCATCATTTGAGAAGTTTCTGTTTTGTTCCTTGCCTCAACTTTTAATTTGATTGTTTGGTTTTTATGATCAGTGTTTTGAGTACATTATGTATTCTAGATTCTAACCCCCTATCAAATGTATAGGTCATAAATTTTTTTCCCATTCTTTAAGTTGCCTCTTCACTAGAATGATGGTATCCTGTGCTATACAGAATCTTTGGAGTAAGGGTTTTTTATTTCTTGAGAATTTCATATATGAATACTGTATTAACATCATTTCACCCCTACTTCTTCCCCTCCAACTTTTTCCATATCCCCTACCACTTCAGCTCAATTTCATGAGCTCATCTTTAATTATCATTGATTCTATCTATCTATCTATCTATCTATCTATCTATCTATCCTAATGAGTCCACTTAGTGATACTCATATATACATGTGTTTAGGGCCAACAACTTGAAGTTGGATAACTTATCAGGGAACTCCTTGCTGAGAAAACTTTCTTAGCAATCATTGCTCTTCACCTAAGAGGGGGGACATGTGAAATATCTCCCATACACATGGGCAGGTCAAATGGTGTGGTCATTATGCAGGTGTTATTAAGACGACCATACTGTTGAGATTTCATGGATGCAGCTTTCCTGTCATGTCTGGAAGACACTGTCTATCAGTAGCCACCCTATTCCTGTGGTTCATGAAAACTTTGCTCCTCCTCTTTCACAATGTTCCCTGAGCCTTGTATAGTGCTAACACAGGTAGACATACTATTGTGGTGTTCAGTACATGGTCACTTATTCTTTGCATTTTGACCAGCTGTTGATCTCTTTAACAGTCTCCATTTGTTACAAAAAAAGAAGCTTCTTTGATGAGTGGTGAGAGCTTCACTTCTCTGTGAATACAAGGATAGTTATTTAAAATCTAGGTGGACATTATATTGGTTTAGGCAAGTAACTATAGTAAGTTCTCCTCTAGAGTCTATGACCTCACCAGTCATGGCTAGGTTTATAGTACCAGGCCTAAATTATCCTCTATTGAAAGGGTCTTAAGCCCAATTAGACAGTTTTGTACCATTAGTGATACATTACCTGGCCAGTCATTGTTGTGGTTTATAAGCTTTTTAGCTAGATAGGACTACTGATTGCTTTTCTGCCTTGACATTTTACATATCATCTTGTTATCCTATGAGAGCTAGATCTCAAGGAGGAGGCTTCCAGGTCAGTCCCAGATAGAATTTTCTAAAGCATGTGTACAAAATGTTTGGTGTCATCAGCAATAAGATCTTACCTTCAAGTTTGGAAGGCAACCTAGGTCTATGGTAATAGCCTATAATGTTTTCACAGTCTCTTGAACTATCCTGGGAAACAACTTGAAGGGATATTTTTCCATGCCTGGTAATGGAGTTTTATTAGATATCCTGTATCTATATACCCAAAGACACACATGCATGTGTGTTTATCATAGCAACAAATGAGTGTAAGATAATAAGGCTGATATTTTTAGAATAAGATTGTGTATTAGAAATCAAATTTTTAAATTTTCTTTATTATTTTTATTTATTTTATGTGTACATGTGTATTGCCTGCATGTAAGTAAGTGCACCCATGTTGTACAATGCCCACAGAAGACAGAAGAGGCTGTCAGATCCCCTGGAAATGGAGTTACGGACAGCTGTTAGCTGCCATGTGGGTGCTGGGTCTTTAATGAAAACAGTCTCAATTATCTTGTTTTAAAAAATTTAAAGCAACAGCTATTTCAATAACTATGAAAACCAGAGGGGAGAGATATGGGGGAGAGAGAGAGAGAGAGAGAGAGAGAGAGAGAGAGAGAGAGGGAGGGAGAGATTACAAGTTGGCATCTCCTTTAATAGATATATATGACAAATTATTATTAAATCCCATAATACCTTTGTGTATTTTATCTATTTATTTATCTAACATAATGTTCTGCAATTAGTGATATGTGAATATAAAGGTCTATATATTAATTTAATTCTGAATGAAATTAAGTATTATATCACATTGAGAATTCTCAGCTTTTCAATTGGTATCAGTAACTTGAGTAAGAAGACAAAACTTAAACAGAAGGCAAGGTTATTTAATCATCTCTAACGTTACTCAAAAAACTATTTCTCTTCTTAAAGAAGAATCATGTATCTCTAATGAAGTATTTCCCTTTGGCAATAAAAGGTTTATACATTTCTATCATGACAGGTTATTTACATCTCTTTAAGAAGAGAAGGCAACATGTGTGTGATATTAGTTTTACATCTGACAAAAATAGATATAGAATAGCAGGGAAGAGGAGATACAGCTAAGAATAAGATCACAAAAAATTAATATCCATGAGCTGCATATTTTGAAGTCAGTGAATTCTGAAAAAAACGAAAGAAGGATTGGAGAGATGCCTCAGAAGTTAAGCACACTGGCTGCTCTTGCAGAGGACCCGGATTCAGTTCCCAGTACCCACAAAGCAGTTAACAACAGTTTGTAACTCCAGTTCCAACACCCTGCTCTGGCTTTTGCAGGCATCATACACACTTAGTGCACTTACATACATGCAGGCAAAACAATAACATATAAAATAAAAATAAGTAAATTCTTAAAAGAAAATGGAAAGGAAGACACTGTAATCAGAAGATCAAAAATGAACAAGGGAACACAGAATGAAGAAAAGGTTTTGAGCCTATCAGTGATGGGAAGTCAGTTAACTTATGATATATAATAATCCCCAAACACATTGATTTAAATGTCCATTACACAATAATTTTATAGTCTGGTAATTTGGACTGGGAATATATTAAGATGATAAGGTGATGATACTTCTAAACTTGGCTCAGTTCAGCTAATCTCAACTAAGACTCATCAGAGTTCTAAAATCCCTTATTAGGTCAACTTGTGTTAACTAAGGGCCAGCTGGCGTCTCTTTGCCGTCCTCCATGTAGGCTTTCCTCTTCATGCAGATTATCTTGGGCTAATTTATATGGTAACTTCATAATTACAAGTATAGCAGGGACAAAGTCCTTCTAAGCATGCAAGCCTCATAATCACTTCTAACAAACATATTGATAAAACCAAATCACAAGATCTGCACATATTCAAGGAGTGAGGAAAGAAACTGCAAATTGAAAAGTAAACTATTGGGTCATTTTTGCAATTTACTATAGCCACCTATATAGTCTTAAGGGAATATCTCTGGAAGAATCTCTAGGGTAATTAAGAACATGAATACATAGAATTCACTTGGCAGAAATAATTCCTCTTCTACAAAGAATCCCCAGAGCCAATTTCATGTCTCTGTTCCTCAGGCTATAGATGAAGGGGTTCAACATGGGTGTCACCTCTGTATACATTATTGAAGCAATTATATCCTTAATTTGGGAATTTTTTGAGGAAGGAAAGAAATAAATAATTGCAAGAGTCCCATAATACAAAAATACAAGGAAGAGGTGGGATCCACAGGTAGACAGAACTTTGCAGATCTTCTTAGTGGAGGGGACCTTCAGGACAGTAAAAGCAATGAAGATGTAAGAGCCCAAAACAGTACACAATGGCAGGAGAAGCAATACTCCTCCCTCAGTGAAGATGACTAGCTCATTGAGGGAGGTGTCTGAGCATGTCATCTTCAAGAGTTCATTGAGATCACAGAAAAAGTGGGGGATAGTGTTGTCAGCACAGAAGGACAGGCGGGACAGGAGCAGGGTATGCAGAAGGGCGCTCGTACAAGAGAGGAACCAAGATCCAGCCACCAATAAGTCACACAGCTCCTCCCTCATGATAACCATGTAGTGCAGTGGGTGGCAGATGGCCACATACCTGTCATATGCCATCACTGAGCATCTTTGGGATGGTGACAGATGATAAGGAGATGTCGGAGAAGGCCAGGTGGCACAGGAAGAAGTACATGGGGGTGTGGAGGCGAGAGTCCAGCCTGATGAGCAGGATGATGAGCAGGTTCCCCAGCACTGTGGTCAGGTACATGGCCAGGAAAAGGGTGAAGAAGATGCCCTGCTGCTCTGGCTGGATGGGGAGCCCCAGGAGGATGAACTCAGACACACTGCTTTGGTTCCCCCTCCTCATGTTCCTCTTCCTGCTGGGAATGGAGCGAGAAGGAAATGTCAGAGTCCTGAGTCCTCATCAGGTACACATAACATGCATGCTTCTTTCCAGAGGACTGCACTCAAATTCAGACAAATTGCACACTTTACAGTCTGAATCTCAAATTGGCCTCATACTAAATACAGAGAGATATTTCTAATTCTAACAAGATTTCCTTCAGGAAAGAATGCATACCCTCATTTCCCAGTTTCCCTTTGGAAACACCTGTTTCCTATTAGCCCCCTCTCATGGGCTTTTTCTTTCCATTTACCTCTAAGCTATCTTTCAATTTTCATGACTCCCAATGTTACATTAGGATATATACTCACATATAAGTTATTGGTACTGTTGCTATAAATGACCGTGAATATATGTTACTTTCTTTCCTCAATCTGTGTTACTTTACTTAGTATAACAGTTTTAGTTCCATTCATTTACCTGCAAATTTATCTTTCCATATCATTTAGTAGAACTCCATTGTGTAAATGCACCACATTTTTATTATCCATTTGTCAGTTGAGGGACAGGTAGGTTTTTCCATTTTTTACCAATAGTGAAAAGAGCAGCAACAAACATAGATATACAAGTAAATCAGTAGGATGAGTTCTTTAGGTACATACCAAGGAGTGTTACAGACAGATCATATAATAGATTCATTTTTATTTTTTAGGAGTTCTCACTGCTTTCCATAGTGGTTGCACAACTTTGCAATCCCCCCAGCAGTGAAGGAGCAATCCCCTTTCTTCACATCCTCACCAGTACTTGGTGTGTTTTGTTCTCTTGATCTTGTTCAGTCTGACTGGAGTAAGATGAAATCTTAAAGTAGACAACTCTAAACAACAAGTTTCCTCATATAACAGAGTGTGGTGCATACAGAAGGCCACAACTGACCAAGTTTTAAAGAATAAGAGACTGTAGATTCCATGTCCCTAGATAGGATTCCTATACTAAAACTCACTCACCCATGGCCTCCAGGGACTCTATCAGAGAAGTGGTGGAATGATTGTGAGAACCAGGGTTGGTGCTGGCACATAAGGAAACAGAGGCTTTCAAGTCTCTGGGAACTTTCTCATGAACTTGCAACAATGGTGACAGCAGGCACAAGACCCATGATAACTCAATCAGACAGGAAGCCAGAATAAAATGGGGTTTGGGAAACAGGCCCAACCATGGCCAAGGAACTATTAGCAAATGATTACTGTGGGATGAGCAAGAGTTGATCTTCTTTAAGGAAGTGACTCTATATAGGCTGAGCAGACTCCAGTGCATGGAGTTGCACTGAAGGACATCTGGATACAAATATATAACTGGATTGGATTTTATATATATGACAAAATACCTGAAATCTGGCTGGGGGTGCTAGTAGGGGCAGGGAAGAAGGGGTCTAAATTTGATTAAGATGTATCGTATGAAATGTATAAAAACACAGTAACAACAAAAAAAAAACAGCACAAACTTGGGTAAATGGGCAGCAGGCCCCAGCCTTGGTCAAAGAAGTCTTGGCAGCTGATTACTGCCGTGTGAGGGAGAGTTGATCTTCTTTAAGTGAGAGGCTCTATATAGGCTGACTAAACCCCAGTGGATTAACTTTCACTAAGGTACATCTTGATAGACCTTATAATATATGACCGAATGCATAAAATCTTTTGGGAGACAGTGAGGAGGGACAGATGAGAGGAACAGGGTATAAATATAATTAAAATGTTTTATATGAAGTGCACAAAAATTCAGCAAAAACATTTTTAAAGAATACGTGGGGTTTTTTTTCACTTACACATGTTTTAAACAGCATTTTCAGCACAGGAAACACACCAGATAATAAAATTCCTTCTTGGAGCACACATTCTATAAGCATTTTCTAGACTATTGAACAAGAGCTACCACCTTCCCACAAGGAGGTTTAGGATGGCCCCTGCCTCAGAACTTTACTTCTTCAGTGGCATGGGCTACTTTCCTGTGTATACCTTCTATAAGTCAATAATGCAGTTAACTAGTTATAAGAATTTGGGGACAATCTATGCTAATGCATGTAACAGTCTTAGAGCAGATCACACACAAGGTCAAAATAACCCACAATAGCTACTACAGTAGGACAAGCTCAGCAGAAAATCAGTCATCAAACTCTAGGAACTCAGAAAAACAGAAGAGTAAGATGGGCATTAGACCAGATCCAGTTCTGACATTAAAAAAGAAATCATTAACCTTCTGGAATATCATAGCCCTGAGGATTTACCTAATTGGAACTTGGAACCCAGACCATGGTGACTGGGATTAAATCCCTATCAGCAGCAATGACATAGAAACTTTACCTCTCCAACTCTCTCCTCCCTCTTCCTATTCCTCGTCTCTCTTCCTCTCTATCTCCTTCCTTTTTCTCTGACTTCTCTCCTCTCTCCACACCTCTTCTTTCCCTCTGTCAGAATACAAGGATGCAGCCATAGTAATAGACCTGAGAAACTTCCATGCAAGGATCCTAAGAACTTCATCACATTGCAGGATTTTGAGTTGATTCAATTCATAATAGATTCATAATCATCTATTACCAATTCTGAAAATTTATCATAATTGGCATTGAATGAGATCCTTCTAGGACATAAGCATTGATAATATATTGTCACATTTAGACATCAGGAAACTAAATCTCAGGGCTGTTAAGTAACCCATCCTAAGCACTAAAATAATACTTGATGCTGTCATAATTTCAGGCTTTGTCATTATGAACAGATGCCCTACTCATCACCATCCACTAGCCCTACACCTTCATTCATTAGGAAATCCAGGATGGGCATGGTGTGGCAAACCTTCAATCCCAGCACTCAAGCAAGCCAAGGCAGGAGGATCATGGGTTTGAGCTGGTATCAGGCACATATCGAGTTCTGGGCAAGCCTAAGTCACATAAAGAGATGTTATTTCTAACAATGAGATAGAAGACAGAGAAAGGAAGAGAAAAAGAGAGGAAGCTATTTCCTCTAAGTCTGAAACTATTTCAGCATTTCAACTTACAGCACACCATCTGCTTGGTTATCTGCTAATGTTCATACGTGAGATGATTCTGTCATTCGCTGTGTACTCTCATAGCTGGTCTCTTTCAGAGAGGAAGGTGAAGCTAAATAATGACTATGTCTGTACAACTTGTCTCCATCAAGTTGGGCAAACCAGAATGTACACTCATTAATTTATATCAGACACTAAATTTTCAACATTTGTGTGAATTAATTCTAACAGTCAGCAAACACTAAGTGCTTCTAAAGCAGATATTCAGAGGTTTGTTTTTCAAGTTCCTAATATTGAAACAGAGGCCTGAATACTCATGCTGAAGGGCCTAGAAAAATGCTGGGTCCTGCTCTTGAATAGAACTTCTAACAGCTTTTTTGAAAGTGCAGCTTGGTACCTTATCTAGTCAGAGTTAAACCGCAGGTAGCAATCACATACAGAAGACCAGGAAATGTAATCCAGGCAATTGCCCTCACCCCTAGGCACAGGTACTTGGTAACAAGCATCTGTAAGAGCAGAGAGGACAGTTTTCAGTCAGTGGGAAACAGGAAGAATGAAATAACTTACACCTCCAATGGGGTCTGACACGTCACCGGCAGTAACTAAATCAAACCTTTTGAAACTCAAGCATGTTTGAATTAAAATCCAGAAGTTAGAGGTCAAATAACTATTCAAAGTTAATGACTAGATAATCAGAAATATGACTTTGTTTCCAGTCACTCTGTCTGTGAAAGAGGCAGCTGGACACACACTCAAGAATGAGGAAGGGAAGTAGCCAGGTGGAGTTGATGGTCTTTAAATGAGTCTGCTTTCTCTATTTTACCAAAACAATCCACCTTGGACATTTAAGAAATGATTTACTACATGTTTGTAACACAATGCATGTCAGAATAATTGATTAGTCTCATCATATTATTCAGATTACTGAGTTTTGCAGAATTCAACCCAATGTCATAAAGATATAAAGAGTCTAAATTAGAGATTTGAAATAGAATGGGAATGTGGCATTGTTGAAAGCTAGCAAAGAAAAGTTCTCCCACAGAATTTAGGGGATTTGAGGTCATATGGTCCAAGAGGTACTTATTCATTTTAAGGAGGGGCCTCTTGGGAGCTGCCTTTAGTACGAGAAGCTAAATCCTGTGTGGAGAAGGTAGCTGTGAGTTTGTTTCCCCCAAATACAAATATACATGTGTGTATACAAACACATATATTACAAAACTGTAGCTTTAGTTCCTTCTCATCTACACTCATACCAGATTAGAATATGACTGTGTTGCATAGGAACACTTGTATGTAGTCACACAAGCTACATTTCAGTAATCATAGATCTCTCTGACCAAACGTCATTCCCTTTATAACCTGTACTCAGTAGGTAGAAACAGAATTTGCAAACAACTGATAAACACTACCACACACCACACTGGGCATGAACATCACACCTGGTCATCACAGAAAAAACACATATTATATCCACAGGAACACTTACGCAGGCATTCAGTCACACAGAGCATTCAACCATTATACAAAATATCCTATAAAGAAGAGATGATTTTCAAATCTTTATAAACTACATCTCTCTTTCTGTTTTTAAAACATTTTATTTATTATTTTTATTTTATGTGTATGTGTGTATTGCTTGCATGTAGGTAAGTGCACCCATGTTGTGCAATGTTCGCAGAGGACAGAAGAGGCTGTCAGATCCCCTAGAACCGGAGTTATGGACAGTTGTTAGCTGCCATGTGGGTGCTGGGATTTAAACCTGGGTCTTCTGCAATACCAGTCAGTGTTCTTAACCTCTGAGCCATCTCTCCAGCCCCACATCTCTCTTTCTTACATAAAGAAGTGGCTCTATAAGTCAATTCCCTACTAAATACACTGTAGTAATATAAAAAAAACACAATACATACATATTCTCACATAAATACACATGGTGCTAAGAAATGATTCCTGATCTTCTTTTGACATGTGATAATCTTTGACAAGCTCAA